AAAAAAAAAAATTCATAAGTATGGTAAAAATTTAAAACCGAAAGATCCCTTAACTAGGGAAACTATATGAAGCTTTAAACTTTTAAACTGCTCTCCTCTAAAATTTGCGTTTTGGAGTTACGGGATTATACGTAGGGAGTGACGATATATATCTATATATCTAGATATATATATAGATATATATATATATATATAGATAGAAAAATGATTGTATGAAGCTTCAAGAATTTTCAAATAACAATAAATTTTGGCTGTTGAAGCAATAACACTGTTGATAGAGTGTAAACATTTAAATCCGTTTATTAAACAATTAAAATAAGCATGAACGCTTTCGACCTTGTATTAGGTCCTTTTCAAATGCAATTAAATTATATTAGATAAAATAGGTCGCTGAATGTTGATCGTGGATATCCACACTAGCCATCACGACCAACACTTTACAAAGGTGGAAATGCGACACAGTCGCATAAAAATTTAAATTTATATTATGCGACACAGTCGCATTTCCACCTTTGTAAAGTGTTGGTCGTGATGGCTAGTGTGGATATCCACGATCAACATTCAGCGACCTATTTTATCTAATATAATTTAATTGCATTTGAAAAGGACCTAATACAAGGTCGAAAGCGTTCATGCTTATTTTAATTGTTTAATAAACGGATTTAAATGTTTACACTCTATCAACAGTTTTATTGCTTCAACAGCCAAAATTTATTGTTATTTATATAGATAGATATATATATACAGGGTGTTCCAGAATTGGTGTGACATCTCTCGTAGGCAGGTGGAAGAAGTAAAACTGAGTCGAAAAGTCCTGAACCATTTGTTTCTATTATTTATAATAAAGGAGTAATTATTGAGTCAAATCAGGCCAATCAGCGCCTGAGCCAGGCGCACATCAGTGAATCGCACGGAGCGCTCATACACACCAGGCGCGTGGCTCACTGACGTGCTAAAGGTCGGCGCTGATTGGCCTGATTTATTCAATAATTACTTCTTTGTTATATGTAAGAGAAAAAAATGGCCCAGGACTTTTCGACTCGGTTTTACTTCTTCTACCTGCCTGCGAGAGATGTCACACCAATTCTGGGACACCCTGTATATATATATAAATTGAAATAAACGTCCCTTTGCTTTCGTATCGCCGCGACGCAGCCGAACAAGCGCTTCTCGTGTCGCGCCCGAACGAACGGGGGAGTTCAGTGGCGTGTTTCTAATTACGGAGATGATGTTGGCCGCGAGAATGCGCGCGTTTCGTCGACACACGCACGGTCGAGTATTTTGGCGGGAGAATACTCCGCGTTCCGCGCGCGGATATCATCATGTGGAAGTACAAGCCAACTTTCGTTCAATTTTCAATCACCACATGTTTTCCGTTTTCTTCTTCTTTTTTTTTTTGTTGGCGACAGAAGAAAAACTGTCGCGCGAGATCTGAAACACAACATAAGACAACATCGCACTTTGTTCTGTTTATTTATTTATTTATTTTTGTTTCTTGTTTTGTTTACAGGACAAAAAGAAGCTCGAGACCGAACTGAAGCGCGTTGAGGACGCGGTTCAGGAGCGATCGGTCGCCATGGGGAATCTGAAGAACGAGCTACTGACCACGCGGGATCAGTTGAAGGCGTGCGACGCGCAAATGGCCAAGGACCGGGAGAAACTTCTGAAACTGCGGGAGGACAAGAAGATTCTCCTGGACAAGGTTTTTACGCGCGCGTTTGTTTTCATCGTTTCCGAGGTCGGACGTTCGCTCGATGAATGAATAACGCGCGCGCCGGTGACTCATTCGCGACGAAGAGAGAGACTCGTCGCGAGGCTGCGACCTCTTTTTCCCACCCCCTCGAGAGGTGAATTCTCGTTTCTCCGCACGAACCTCCCTTCGCGTTCTCCACGAACCGGTGACTCACACGCTTTCTTTCTCTCTTTCTCTCTCTCTTTCTCATCCCTTTTTCCCGATTCCGTGGATCTTCAGCAATTGTCGGTGCCAAACGACATCGTCCGCCTAACCCATTTCCATCGCGTTTGCCAACGAGGCAAAGGGGTTGTTCTCTCTTCGCCGAAATATTGCTTGGTTCTTTTCTGAAACTTGATTCGTTGACTCATTGCATTATTTCTCTACGTTTTTGGTTACAACAATTTTTCTAGAAATGAATAAGAATAAGATCATACGAGCCGCTTTGCAGGATGTTGAAATGTTCTATTTTATATATATGTATACATATATATATGTTCACATGTAAATGTTTACACGTGTTTTTTTGAATTGAAATTTCAATTCTTAAAATCACATACAGTATGATATACTTGCATCTCTCATGTATGAAAGACCCCNCTTGTTTTTTTAAAAAAATCCTACAAAAATTGTCGTCAGTAACTTTAAAAAAACCCCACTTCACAAAGGCTCGGCATAGGAAATCCATGTTAAAAATTGAAACTTAAATCTTCTATATTTTGGAATTTAACATTGCTACCCTTATTATCCAAAAAGGCTATGTATAAATAAGATCACAAACTATGTATATCGCAAATTTAGAGAAAATCCTGGGAAAATCAATAATTCGGAGAACGTCCTTAAACTAATAATATCTGAATATAAGGAGTGGCTGAGGAATTTTTTTCGCAATATTTTAAAATTAGTTCGGGGGGTATATGGGTTCCTTCATACATGAGATGCAAGTGTAACATCCTGTATGATTTTATGAATTGAAATTTCAATTCAAAAAACACGTGAAAACGTGAATTCGTTTATATATGTGCATACACGCACATATACAGGGTGTCCCAGAATTGCCGTACAATCTCTCGCAGGCAGGTAGAAGGAGTAAAACTGAGTCGAAAAGTCCTGAACCATTTTTTTCTATTATTTATAATAAAGGAGTAATTATTGAGTCAAATCAGGCCAATCAGCGCAGACCTTTAGCCAGACGCACGTCAGTGAGCCGCGCGCCTGGTGTGTGTGAGAGCTCACTGACGTGCGCCTGGCTAAAGGTCCGCGCTGATTGTCCTGATTTGACTCAATAATTACTCCTTTATTATAAATAATAGAAACAAATGGTTCAGGACTTTTCGACTCAGTTTTATTCCTTCTACCTGCCTACGAGAGATTGTACGGCAATTCTGGGACACCCTATATATAATAGAACATTTCAGCATAACATCCTGCAAAGTTTATTACTTCAAGAGAGCCTTAAGTTTCTTTATTAATTTTTGTAGAAACTAGATACGTGTAATTCTCGCGACGCGTTCTCTTCAGTTCTTTCCTCAGGGCTTGTATATTCACGACCCTCCCCCATCTGTCATCAAAGTCGCGTTGCATCAGCCATGTTGGTTGGATGTGCGTAATTCTACTGTGAATATTTTTGGATAATTTTAGGTGTTTTTACACCACCTTCTTTATTACCGTCGTAGTCTCTAGTTTAAACAAATACGTAATTAGTAATAATAGTAAATCGAAGACTGGCGTATGCTCCTTCCTCACCGGGGCAAGAGCCATTACAGCAAAGAAGAAGAAGAAGACGACCCCCCTCCCCTCCGGAAACTCGACCCGAGTTCGCTCGGATGAGAAGAAAAAAAAAATTGACCCCCGTTTTCGCGTTCGAACGATTCGAGAAAAATCGACCGATCAGTTTTCTCTCTCCGGGATCTCGATTGTTGGCACAATAAATATAAAAACAAAAGCCTTTGGCGGCGCCAAAATCGTGCGGTGGCGGCGCGATCACGAAGACACTCGACACACGTGTATAAAAATTCACGTGTTCGTTCGGCTCGCGAGACGGGGAACAAGTCGATCGGAGTGAATCACCGACGTCCCAAGTTTTTATCTCAAGATGTTGGGACGAGTCTCTCGTTTCATTGGTTGCGGAAGCATCGGAAGATGAGGATTCCTCAAAAATTCAACGCAAGATCTCTCCGACTAAATGTGAACCGGTTTTGCAATCTCCTCTCCCGGGAGATTAACCTGCGATCAGGCAGCGTGTCAGGTCAATGCACGGCGCGGGAGAAATGTATATACGCTAATGTATATACGCTTATATACGGATGAGTCACTCCTTTCGCGCGCGTTTAGCGTCGCGGTGACTCAATATCACGTAATACTCCTTCCGTACCAGGAAAGAAGGGATCGATACCACTTGTTCTATATATTTAACTTTTATTCGGCGTGACATGTCGCGCGAAATGTCACTTGCGATTGTGTGGGACGATTGCGATCGGCCGCACACAAAGTGTTTACACGCGCGACACGACAACTTCGCGAGAGGGAGAGAGAAAAAAGTTCGGTTTGGAAATTACGTCCATCGAGGGAGAAGAATGCTCTTCGCTAAGTTTCGTCCAACCGACCGGCGCGCGCGTGATCTCTCTCGATTTATATTTAAATACAAATCATCGCTTCGCGCGAATCGTCAATTGTGTTGTCGCGCGTCATCATCATCCAATTCGTTGACTCTCTATTGAGATTTACGACGAAAATATTCGGGGGGGGACCTTTCAGGTCTCGGCGAGCGAAGCTCTGGCGACTGAACGCGGCGCCAGAGCAGGAAAAGCGGAATCCGCCGTCGTGGAGTTGAAGCTGCGATTGGAGGCGCAAACGGCCCTCGCGGAGTCCGCGCGGGAGCAGCTGCAACGCGCTTCGAAGTACTTACATACAAATTTTTCTTGTTTCTTTTTATCTCCACACACAGTCTCCTCACAGAATTTTGACGGGAAGAAGAAACTATGGGGAGATGGTGTGTACACTCAAATCGCGATTCAAATACTTTTTTCTTGCACGCGCACTCTCAGAGATCTGGAAGCCACGGAGACGGAGCGGAAGAAGTTGGAGATAAGCTTGAGAGCGAGCGAGGATCTGAGAGACGCCGCCAACTTCCGTCTGATTTCTCTGGAGAACAAACTGGCCGATCGAGAGGCCGAACTTCGCTGCATGGAATTGGAATACAACTCGCAGATGTAACTCACTTAAGCTCACGCAAATCGGATCTCTCTCTCTCTCTCTCTCATCAGAGAAATTCACTCTCCCGTATTTCAACTTTATTATTCCCGCTCTGTGTCTAGTCTAACGCGCACGTTGGATTTTACCGGACCGAATCGATCAATAGGAGAGATTTTTTAACACTAGATATACCAGCTATTTAAATATACCGATTAAAAAATACAAAAAATATATTTAAATATATATTAATTACATCAACTCGAAATGTGGATCGGCGATTGGTTCATTTTTTAATTTGCACGAATTAAGGAAACAATTAACACTAGATATACCAGCTTATTTAAATATACCTATTAAAAAATACAAAAAATATATTTAAATATATATTAATTACATCAACTCGAAATGTGGATCGGCGATTGGTTCATTTTTTAATTTGCACGAATTAAGGAAACAATTAACACTAGATATACCAGCTATTTAAATATACCTATTAAAAAATGCAAAAAATATATATTTGTTACGAATATATATAAAGTAACATTAAGAGTTCATAAAATGTATTCTCTACTTATAGCTAACAAAAGTCATAACATCATTTCGGAAAGCAAATGTTACATGCGGTAAAAATTTTGAATTGAAATTGCACGACCAGTCAAAATGACTGGTCTGGTAAATCTAGTGTTAATATCTGAGAAGTTCTCGAGAAATTGAATACGAGAGATCCGATCGTGTGAAAAAAAATACAAAAAAAAAAAAAAAACTAGTTTTCTTTCGATGTTCGAAACTGTGCAATTTTTTTTTTTTTTTTCCGTGTGTTTTTAGAATGGAATTGACCGAGCTGAGGGATCGATTGGTGCGTCAGTCTCAGGAGGGATGCTGGAGCAATCGGATACTGCAGATCGCCGGTAGCATAATGCGCGCGTCAATTTGGCGGACTTTCATGTTTCTGTCCAACGCCGCTATGTTGTTGCCGCCGTGAGTAATTTTGTTTAAGGGGAGGTTCTAGTCAAAAGGCCCGAAAATTAACGTAATTTCATGATTTTAACGTTAAACAAACAATATTAAACAATTTGTTTTTTAAAATGCTTCCTGAAGGACCCCCTAAATTGAATAAGCTTTAATTTGAGCCGCCAAACATCGAAATCGGTTAAGTCGTTTAAGCGGAATCGTGTGCGGCGCGCAAAAAAAAGTTATAAAAAAATAAATAAATAAATAAATAAATTATATAGGGGGAAATATCCTTTTGGCTACACATTTTCAAGACCCTAAGCATGAAAATAAAGCAAAAACAAAAAAAAATTTTTGTTTTCGATTTTGACTAGAACCTCCCCTTAAGCTCGCGAACATTTTTTTCTCACTCCGAGTCACAACGGAACGTTCTTCCGCTTCGTTCGTCGGTATCCTGTAATTTTATAATCGAACGTTTATTCGTGCGAGATATTTTATATATCTCGAGAGAAATAAAAACAAAAAACATTTCGCAAACGCAGATAAAACGCTCTTACCGCGATCGCAACTTTAGTGGAGCCGAATTCTGGTTTTCCGAAAGAAATCCGCGGATTGGATTGTCGATGCGAATGCTCTCGGGGTCCCAAGGAGGAAGATCTCTTATCGGTCTCGAAGAAAAAACGGCGGTCACGGGAAGATGCCCAGGGATGAGGCCAGCGGAGGACAACGGGGAAATTAACAAGCTTTCGTTTTTTCCTTCACGTCACATTTTACACACATTGTAATGGTTTTTTTTTCTTTTTTTTTTTTTAAGCTGATATTTAATTTTCGAGTGTAATCGGGGATTTTTGTATATGCACACACGCGCGCGCGCTTGCGACATTTCGCGAAAACAAAACGAGAGCGGTTTTGTTTTGTTGCGATATTTCGCAATTTGTAGAATTTTTTTTCTTTTTTTTTTTTTGATAAATTGCCGAGAGATGCGACTGTTTTGTTAACGAGCGATATTTCTCAGCGGGGATTTTTGTAACATGTTGAATAAATAATATGGGTATTAACGTGCCTGTGTGTTTTGTGTAATTTTATGTATTTTTTAGATATTCTTTTCGCGCAACGCACATGTGACAAACTGATAAAAATAAATTATCGTCAGTATGGTTTTTTTTTCTTTTTTTTTAATCCGATACAGAGCAGATAAGATCCGACGAGGCGATTAGTTGGTAGTTTTGCTAAATGCGAGGCGTGGTACAAGTTTGCTTTGATCGTTGGCCGTTTGTGGTTTCGCGCTCTCGCAAACGCGCAAATTGCTTGCTACTTGCGATTGCTCTACGCGTTTCGTTATAATTTATGTATGTATATATTTATATATATATATATATATCTATAGTTTCTTTCTCTCTACTTAAGTACATGCATCTTAAACAAATAACGTATACATCGGAGATGCGAGACTCGCAGTATTTCGTTACGACTAAGTTTCAATTTTTTTTGTTTACTTTTGCATCGATGAGAAATAATAAACTGCAACAATGCGTCTCTCGGAGTACAATCGTCTTGTTTTTTTTTTTTTTTTTTACATGATGATGCACGCTAATTAACTTACATTACCCGCCGTCTTCGACGCTGGAAGTTTTTTTTTCTAATTTGCCGTGCTGTAATCGTGAACGGGATTTTTTTTTTTTTATAAAACGAAAGAAACGACTAGATAAAGCTTTAATACGCAAGTTTACAGTATACATTTGTGTGTTCATTGTGTTTGTCTCTTAAAAATTACGGAAAATTATCGTATACACACACACACACACACAC